AACCCGCTCCCCCACCCGCCCGGGACCCCCAGCCGAGGGACGCCGCGGACAGTGCCCCTGCGGAGAGCCAGCAGGTACCTGATCGCCCTCCACGGGGAGGTCTGCCCTCTTGGGGCTCAGCTGCTGCTTTCAGGGAAGAGCTTCCCTCGCAGGGTCCCAGGGCTCACGGTCAAGGAGGTGCTCACTCGGGAGCCCGGCAAGGGCAGGCTGGCACTCGAGAGTGATCGCCCCTTGAATGTTGCAGCCTGGGTGCCTCCCTGTGCTCCCCCGGCCCTGGCCCTGCCCACGGGGCTGCCAAGAGGATCCAGCAAGGTCATGCTTGAGGTCCAGCATAGTGGAACCAGTAACCTTTTGAAATAGTACTCACAGCTACGCTTTGAATATGTTTTTATTGATTTTAGAGAGAGAGGAAGGAAGAGGGATAGAAAGATCGATGAGAAACATAGATCGGTTGCCTCCTGCACACCCCCTACTGGGGATCCAGCCGCAACTCAGGCATGTGCCCCGACTGGGAATCGAACTGAGGACCTCTTGGTTCATGGCGTCAGTATGCAACCACTGAGCCACACCGGTGAGCCACACACAGCTACACTTTAGATGCACATAGCGAATCGTAGCCCCTGCTTCCTGCAGCAGCCTGGGAAAACCAAAGGGAGACCTCATGTGTTTGACACCAGCCTTGATTTTTTTTTAAAGGCCTTTTGCCTGTTCAGCACTGGTATTACTTGGCCCCAGTGGTTTGAAGGGGGTTGTGTCAACAGGGTAAGGAGGGGACAGGCACTTCTGAGCTTGAGCAGCTGGGCGCACACTCATCTGGCACTTGAGGTGCTCACTTCTTCTGGCCCAGCAGTTCAAGAGGGACGCCGGAGGAGTACGCAAGGAGAGGGTGCAGGGGCCCTGGTGTGAGGCCACAAGGGCAGGGCAGGGAGGGGCCCTCCTGCAGGCGCCCTGTTAGTAAGCGCTCCTGAGGCAATACTGGGAATCCAGGATCCAAATCCATGCTGACTGGGCCCCTGCAGGTGCAGGGCAGATGGAGCACCCAGGGTGAGATGGCCTGGGAGGAGAAGGGCCCCAGGTGAGCCCACCTGCCCACTGCGTCCAGCCTGTGCCAGGTAGCATGCAGGGAGAACCAGGCAAAAGGAGATCCTGCCTTCGGTGTTTGATGCTGGGAGACCAAGTCCCTAATAACTGTGCTAGGAGTGAATTTGGCATTAGACTTAAGAGGTGGGGCCCAGCCAAGGGATTCAGGAGTTCACCAGGGGTAGACCCCCCCCCCCCC